TTAATGTATAAATACAGGATTTAAGTAGTATTAGAATAGTTCTTGTCAAAGTTTCATGCTGTTCTCATTTGTTGGATCTGCAAGGTGATCAAATGCACAATATTTAACCAATTCCCTCGACGAGAACCAATTAACTGAAGCCAATTATGTGAATAATTGGAGCCATCTGTTCCTCCTAAAAACTGAAAAGAGACTAAACACCATACATCGGAAGTGCCTTCAATGATCACCTCATAATTTGCTTATTCTGAGGCGAGATGTTGCAGCGGCAATCCATCCTGCAGAAATAAATTAGCAGGACAAAAAAAACTAGAAGTTGACAAAAACTGCATTGACTTAAATTAAATTGATATATATTTAGGTCTAATAGAAAAATAATTGACTCTGTGTTGCAAGTACTAAGGTACTGTAATGTAAAGGTCTCACAGATTTATTCCTACATGGTTTGGTTATTTTTAGTGTACAGAAGGTGAGTCTGCAGGGGCCACTCATCCCTTGCCTAGCCACTGTTTGCAGAATGAGTGAGTGATAGATGTATGAGACAGATCAATAAAAAGTATCTAAGATTCAGCTGCACCAATCATAAATTTGTAACTGGTTTTCAAACTATTTGAAATGCCTATAATATAATGTTTTTGGATATCTAACCTACTCTAATACCTGAATTTTTTGCAATAGTTTCAATAATGAAGCTGGCCAATATGGCAAAAATAAACATCACTGACCAAAATGCTATGAAAACTTCAATGAAGCAGCTGTTCATTTAACTATACCTGCTCTTAATCCAATAAGCATCAGAGTCCTGCTAAAAAGACTTCAATCAGCAGCCCAACCTGCCACCAACAAGCATCCGAGTTGGATTGCCTGTCAGTCTTTGATTCTGATGACTCTGATTCAACCCTCCTCCACCCCCTGCACCACCATCCTTCCAAATTCATCTGGCTTCTTCTCCATTCCGCTGCTTACCCCTATCGTAGTAATTCTCTGGACATATACTGCTTTTACAAGGCATACTCAGCCGCTCCAGCATAGACCCCCATGTTGAGCCCAGTTCTGCCAGAGATTTTTTTTCCGAAGGGTAGGTTTTTTTTTTCTCTCTCCTCTGTCGCTTTATGCTTACTCAGCAAGGAGGTTCAAACCTGCCAGGTCTCAGCTGGCATCCATCTTCATACCATCTCCGGTACACCACCAGTTTCAGGCAGTTTCAGCATCTCGTGCATGTCATAAAAGTAAACTACATTGTTAATGTAACCCTGCCAAGCCTGAGCGCCACAGTCTTGAAATATTGTTTCAATAAAACTCTTCTAATTGCCTTCCCTCTTCTGTGATTTTTTCAGGTTGAATTAAGATAATTAATCACTATCTTAGGACCAGGCCCAATATCACAGCCTATGTGAAAGAATGCAGTCTGTCATGGTTTTGGTTCTGTAGTCCTTTACTTTGCTCAATGTTTCCTGGTTTTATTGGTTTAATTCCTATTTTGTTGTAGTTTCTAGATTTATGTTAGTTCTCAGGTTTTTCTGTTGTTGTCCTCAGTTGCCCTCTTGTGTGTTTTCCTTTCCCCTTGGCTCCCTCGTTGTCTCCTCTCACACCTGCTCCTTGTCAGCTCGTTAGCCCTGCCATTGTCTCAGTCAGCTACATATACTCTCCCTCTGCAATCACTCCTTGTTGGTTCCTTGTTGTCGCTGTTCCTGTCGTCACTGTTCTCTGCTCACTTCGTCTCTCCCTGATGTCTCCATGGTTCTGGTCTGTATTACATTTTTAGTTGGATTTTTGAATTTTGCCCCTCTTATTATTATTTGCAATAATAAATCACCTCAGCCTCTCTGCCTCTGCATTTGAGTCCTCTAAACCACAACCAAAACGTGACACAGTCAGTTTTAGAATTAAAATTGATGTTTATTATTATTTTATATACAAAATCATTACAAATGTGATATTTTAAAATGCCTTCAACATTTTTTTACCAATTGAAATGCTTTGTATTACAATGATTTAGATTCTAAATCTTTGTTAAATACAATACTTCTACATTAATAGTCTTTAATTTTCAGAGAAAAAAATAAAGAAATGCAAAATGATCTCTAGAGTAGAGTCTCATGGTGATCAGGCTGCATTGGCTTTAGAGATAAATTGGGCTGGCCCTACAGCAAACCCACAAAAAAAAAAACCCAATAAAATAAAAGCCAATTTTACACTTCAGATTTTCTGGCAGGTTTAAACTAAGCCTAAAAAAACAACACATTTTAACATGAAAATTGTGATGTCTCCTTAAAAAAAACAACCAACAGTTCCAAAACCAGCATGAAAATAAAAAACAGCATGTGATAAAAAGTGTGTCGGTTCATTAAGTTTCCGCTCCCATAATACCTTGGACTTTGTTTATAAACAGCTGACTGAAACTGAAAAAAAAGAGCTGTTTAACTGCAGTAATAAGTGCATCCTGATAACACCAAGGTACTAAATGGTTTGTTTACTGGTCAAACAAAAGATTGTATGTATGGTTTCCAATAGGTTCGCCAATCAGGATCGGTTTATATAAGTCACATAAAGTATACATTTCAATCAAAGACAAGCCAACTCTAAATAAAATGTTTAATCTTAGGTTGGGTGTTAGTGGTAGGTTCAGAATGAAAGCCGTCTTTAAGTGAATACGAAAAAAAGAAAAGATAAGCGGCATCAATTTCAAGCCGCAATGCATAATTCAGTATAATTTCGACTTATTGTATACAAACATAATCTAATATCTACCATCTTTTCATCTGTGAATTACTCAGCCAAGAGTTACAGCGAAATGATTTGCATGTTTTCAAAATGTGTTTGGACTCATCTGGGACATGCAAAAATGGTAAACATAAATTATAGTGTGGGCCTTCTGCTTTTGCTACACTTTTCTTTTTACTTGGGAAATGGTTATCATACCACTTCAGTTAAGTGTTTTCCATTTTTCTCAAATAAAAAAAAAAAAATTTGCCATTTCAACAATATTTTCATTCTGTCTTGTCCCTTTAGCATGCTGTGAGTAATCACAGCTGCCGCAGATGAAAGCCTTTGTCCGTCTTTGTCAAAATGGTTCCAATCTCCCGTTCTCAGAAAGTGACATTCTGGCATCCTTTTCCAATTGTTGTCTTTCAATTCATCAAACAAACTAAGAAATGCCTTTTAGACTGACCTCTAAGAATGACAGGGACTCTGTCATTGATAGACACAAACCCTGAGACAACAAGCGGCATAGTGATTTCCAATAGAAATCTACCCAGTCGACACACTTCTGCTGGCCCCTGAGACAATCCATCTGCAGGCAGCACATTGTCAACATGTAAACAGACTTGAATGTAGCGTCTGAAACTCATCTTGTACTGTTTGTGCACCACATGCCAATAAATGTGTTTTAAAAAACACACCAATTAGCTCCACTCACCGAGCTTTAACCTTTTAAATGGAGAGGTTATATGAAGTTAATTAAATTTGCCTGGGATTTAGCTTTTATTTTTCTTGGTCTCAGTCTTCATTTTGTTGTGATTAAGGATCACAGAGAGTTGGCATGAAAATATGTAGTAACTGTAACTTGGGTCAAGCATAATATAAACACCAAAGAACCTTTGACCACTGATTTCTGTTACATTTTTTTGACTTCTCCAAACTAAACAACTTACCTTCTTCTTTTTTTTATAATTGAATTAGTTATTTTTTTTGTAAACTAAAATATTTTAAATCATAAAAGCTTCAGTTTGAGTTGTTTCAACTAGTAATAAATAAATTTGAAAAATTCCATTAAAAGATTGAGTGCAAATTGTATTTTACTTGAATAAATATTAAAATTATGATTTTATCATTGAAGAGAAAAGGCAAATCAAACAAATCTGACTATTTGCAAATATAAAAGTAAACAACATATTTTAAAAAGTTGTTGCCTTTTCCAATCTTATGGATGTTAGTGACCTGCTCCTCCTTTGTCTGTGACTTTCTTGCCACTTGAGGTAAGTCTGTTCATTTTTTCAGATCTATAGATCTACTTCATACTGCCAGAAAGCTAAGTTTATTTTTGCAAGATATTAAAAGTTGATGATGAATAAGTCTCTAAGGAGGATGGCACTTTTTTCCAGTACATGTTTATGTTTTTTGTTATTAATGTTGTATTATGTAAATGTCATATAACATATCTACATATGGGGACTGATTACCAGCGTTCTTCATATTGTATCACAGTTATGAAACAGTATCCATTTTCTCATTTATTTATAGCCTCATCTCATGTTAAATAATGCAACACAGCAGAAGGATGATTTTTTTTTTTTTACTATGACAACCAGATGAGACTCGGCATGGGAATCCTGTACTCATGTTCCTATAACATTAAGTGAAAATAACAGGTTCACAGTATTTCCCTAAAGGTTTTTAAATAAAAATGCATAACATTATCCAATTACTTGTATTCAAAGCATAGCAGCTAAATGCAACCCAAGCTTGATTAAACCGTTCTCGTTTCAAAGTCTGGTGTCTCTCGGTAATCTTTAGGGTGTCTCGGAAAATCATCATTACCCTTAAGAACTGTTTGATGTATAATTGGTGCAGTTTTAAAACCCTAACTTTTTGAAACTTTGATACCATGAACTAATGGGGGCTTGAAAAACATGAATCTTTTGATTTCTATTTTTTATTTCTGTTTAACCAAATCCAGATAATTTAGAAATACGATATACTTTCACTGTCCTCCAGCTGGGGGTTGAAGGGTGTGTGTGTGTATGGTGGGTGGATCTCACAATTACACTAATGACACCTCATCAAAATGGCCTCCTGATCCTGCATCAAAATGAACCTGTTCATCATATTAATTAGACAGCTGGCTAAAGGAAGGCTTATTTGCGTGAGCCACACTAAGCTACATATCTCCATAGTTTGATGGCTCTAAACATGAATAAGTCATACCCCAAAGCTATCCATATTTCATCATACATCCTCATCTATAATGTAAGCTGTTCTCCAGCTCATGCCCTTACCTGATAGGGGCTGTCTCATCGCCCTTGTCCAGCCACTCTTGTGGGGGGATGATGTACATGCACCACAAACCCCAGTTGTAGCCGTGGGCGGCGTTGGCATACTGCTGCACCTCAAAGGTGTTGTACTTGATGTTGTCTATGGCAGGTAGAATAATGCGAGTATGATCCTGCTTCATCCGGGTCAGAATGGGTTCAGCCCTTTGAAAAGAAGAAGAAAACACAATGTTAAAGCTGATCTATTAAAATAACTCATTCAAAAGTTTAGCAGCACAGTTCTATGCGGGAAATGATTTGAGACAGATTAGTAGCTTGAAGCTTGGTAAATTACATTGTGATGCTTCATTTATTTCTGTTCTATAGTTCTATATTGTTGGTACTGCTGCAGACAATGCACAAGGCCAAGACTGACGTGATGGGTAATGTCAAGGAAGACATTTGGTATTCCAGTTTTGATGACTGAATATCAATGTATTTAATCAAGAAGCAGTGACAGCTCTCACCACAATTATATGGAAGTCTGGTTAAGTTGTGTACAAACACTTAGAAAAATGCAATATGACAACCTGATGACCCCTAAATGCCACCCTTTGCTGCTTCTTTTAAAAGTGAGCTTTTAGGCTTTCTGTCCTCCATTAGTATTCTCCTCAAAGTACTGAGTGGGAAGATAAACTTAGGTTATCAGCTGAGAAAAAAAAAAAATCACATTTTTAACTCATACTGTATCGTTGCTTTAGGGAATAAAGCATTTAAAAATTACTAACTAAAAGATCCTTTTTTGTTAATTATGTTAAATAATTTGTAAGATGTCATTGTTTACTTTTTAGCAATTAAAGAAGTGTTAAAAACTGCAATGCACTTGATTTTGTTGAATGTTTTCCTCAATAAACAAATAAAAAAGATGAATTCTTCTAAGTTTTTAAAGTAAGATGCTAGTGTTAAAGCATCATGTTTTTAAGACCTTTTTATTGCACACCTTTACAACAATGACAATATATTTCACCAAAATTTTAAATGAAACCAATTCAGTTTTTATTCCTAATGGCCTTAATCAATGCCAACTATCAATGAGACAATAGAGGTCAAAGTAAGAAAGCAAGAAACATAATTGAGTTTCCATCCATGATCTGGAGTTAAAAAAAAATAGTTTCCCTCAAAAAGTAGATATTGAGGAAAAAGCCTCATTTTTTGGTTTTTACTAGAAAGCATTATAGCAAAAATCTGTATGTATTGTTTTCCACTTAGTTTACTCTGTTATCATTAATGTACATTGAACTAAACTAATCAGTGTTTGTGCATCTTTAAGGTTTTCACTGTCTAAACACATGCAATGTATCTCATCCAAGTTCCATTTGTAAACTACATAAACAATACCAAATTGCAAAGACAGAGCTCTTGCTGTTTGGTGAAAACTTCCTAGCAGTGTTGCTTCACAGCTTCAAAGCAATACAAGCATTCAACTTCACTCTGCTGTTTTTCAGGTTTGAACCAGAATCATCCAAAGTCAATCAAATAAAGTTTTCAAAGAAGAATTTAAGCCTCAGCTGGAGGCGCTGCTGTAAGGCACTTAGCAACCTTGACAAAGGAATTATAATATTCAGGCACAAATTAGTTTTGATAACTTAGTTTATAGATGGACACGAATACCTTATGAAGTGTGGCAATTTCTTAAATAATAATAATAAAAAAATAAAAATCTGAACAAATATTAATTACATACGTAGGTCCAAGGAAAAAAAGTACTGAATGATTTAACTGTTTGGATCTTGAGTTTCTCATTTTGCACTATGATATTCTTCTGAGTTCAAAGACCAAAATATTTCCCTAAAACTGGTATTTAATTCACATGTGAAAATACTATTTAATAAAATGTATTCTTATTACTAGAGAACAACTTTCAGGATGCTTTTCTTTAGAAAAAATAAGTTTAATCAGTGCAAATTACAATAACTGTTATAGATGCTCCAACATTCATTTTAAAAGTTAATATAATATTTGTAAGCAGAAAGAAATAAACAAAATTTTAAATAAATCCAATAAATCCAACTCCATTCAGGTGACTGAGGTCAGCCCTTAAAATATAGTAACATATGGATGGACCCTGCAACCATCTGCTAAGTTCCTTAATTTGATGCTTTTTCCAGCTACATGCTCAGATGAACTGTTCTACAAGCAGTCAGCTAACCTTTAAGATTAAACAAACAATTTCTTTAAGTTGGGACACCAAAACTTGTACATCAAAGAGTATCAAAAGGTCCCCAGAAAACTTGATTTGCTTAAAAAGGTATGTTTTATTCTAGCCTGCGTGCCATTCCTAACTTAGTCCCGCCCACAAGGTTTGAGGTCGGGAAGTTCGGTCTGGCATTGCTCAGTAGTAGCGGGAGTATGCTCGCACAATATCTGGCGGGCCAATCAAATTGTCAGGGCGGGCTTTATACGATGATGGACAGATGATCAACAGTAACGTAATCAACCACGTGACCAAAGCGCGCTTGGGTGACAACAACAATGGCTGCCGCTGGAGAGTTGAGGTGTGTAGATTCTGCTATTAGGTCTGTTCTAGAAGACACCGACAGCAAATTAATTTTAAAAGAGGAACAGAGAAACACGATCAAGGCATTTGTTGAAAAGAAAGATGTTTTTGGCGTCCTTCCTACGGGATTCGGCAAAAGTTTAATTTATCAGCTGGCTCTCTTGGTCATACGTCACGCACTCCGTTGCTCTTATTGGTTGTAGGTCTATCCAATTGAGTGCAGAGGCATTTTTTTTCCTGGTTCGTTCAAAACACGCCCCATAATCACAGCTCTATGGAGCAGCATCAGACTCATATTCTGACTAGAATTGAGTCGGACTATGTCAGGCTAGTTTTTTTTCCTCTCCCCCTCCCCCTTTTTCCTCTTTCTGCCTACTTTTTATACCTTTTACATTTCTAATAAAGCTTCATAAATATTTATCAAGCCAAACCTTATGGCAAAAAAGCAGAATGGTCTACTTGTAAAAGCATATATGTTGGACTGTTATTTAGTTCTTGAACATCACTCCCCAGAGCTATATTTGCAAAACAGGACACATAAGAAAAGGGATGTTTTTTTTGTTATTATTGTTTTTTTTTTTTTTTCTGTAAACCCATCTTCTTTTTATTTTTTATTAATTCAGTACATTATCAGTAGCAGTCGCAGTAGATTTGTTAACTGACCCTTCAGATGCCTTGCTGCAGTGCTGTCAGAAATGAGGCTCTACTGAGAATTAATTATCTTCTTTGGATGTCTGTATCTCTTGGTTTATCATCAACACCACAAGCTGTGCAGTAGCCTCCTTCAGCTATTTGAAACTACTGCTTATCCAAAGAATTCATTAAAATACACAAATATATGTACATTCAGAGAAGAACAAGCTCTCTCACTCCCAAGATGAGCCTTTTGGTTAAGGAATCCTAACTATAAACATTTTGTTAGGTAATTCTTGGCAAATATTTATGGTGGGGTCTCTTACTCTTGCATGAGGATTACTTTGGCTTTAAGTGCAACACTTTCACAAAGTTTAACACACCTCACAACCTTGGCACAACTTTTCCACCTCGTCTTCTGAAAAACAGGTTGTTTTTCTTCCAAATCGAAAAAGATGTTTGGTTTGAAAAATCGTTTTCAACTTTTTTCGTAAAGTGCTGTTGACCTAACAGCTAAAAAAAGTTACATTTTATAAAACTGTCAGTTTGTTGCATTTTTTGTGCTTTCTTCCTTTTTCCTTTAGCTCATTAGTGTGTCAAGGATTACACTTCTTATATAAGTGACTATTGCAGTGTACCATAATTTTGATTATGAATGAAAACTGACCTCTAAAATAGTGAAAGCATATACGGTATCTTAAATTATGTGTTTCCAAAAAATATATAATACATCATTGCCAAAATTCAATTAAGTATTTAGAAGAATTGGGGCAGATTTGTCTCCAGGCAATGCAAAGGGAAAGCGAAGCATAAAAGATTTGTAACCAGGAATCAGCAGCTTAAGACCACTCCTGTATCTCTAGCCTTTTGTTTCAGAGCCAGATAGTAGATATGTTAGGCTGCCAGAAATTTTATTTAGACATCTTCATAATATCAGCTGCATGGCACAACTAAAGCTTAAATAGAGTAGCAGAAACCCAACATTAGTGTCTACTGCTTGAAATACTTTCTGATTAATATGAGCATATATGGGTAGGAAGGAACTAGATATGTTTACTTAGATACATTTTCTTGAGTAACTTTTTGAACAAAATTTGCTTTAGTATAGTTTCACTGCACTGATCTTTTCACATATACTTCAGAAATATTATAAGGAAATATTACTCTTACTTGAGCAAAGTTTCCAACCACTCCACCGACTGTGAGTAACTTATTAGTAAAGAAAGGACTTGTTTTAACCATAAATTTACCCGTGAGACCCACACCTATTGGAAAGTTTATATTGAAGTGAGACTTCTTGTTTGTACACGAGCATTGATGACTTAAAGGTATAGAGGATGATCTATTATTTTCATGTGGATGATCTAATTAACTGTCCCTCCTAATTGTCAATCATTTTAGTGATATTTTTATGTAAGGCCGTTGTGTGCTATGTGCTCTTCCTGTTAGCTACCATTTTCTGCGCATCCGCACTTTCAGGCGTGTATGTGTGGTAAGCAACGGTTTCAGACAGACATTGAAGCTCAACTTTCTCACTGTAGTTCTTTAAAAACAGTTTACTGGAAAAATAGTTTACTGCTGTATAAGAGGACCCTTTGTAAAGCAAGACCAGCATGTTTCTCCACATTAATAGAGAATAAGTATAATCCTAGATATCTTTTCAATACAGTTGCCAAACTCACCCATAGCCATAGCTCTGTTGAACCGTCCATCCCACCTGTTCTTAGCAGTAATGATTTTATGGGATCTTTATAAATAAGATTGATCTTTTTTTAATAAGATCATTAACACTCCTCTAATTGGTTTATCTCTGAATGGTTAGACAACATCTGAGGTAGACATAGGATATAGGTTTAGTCTGCTTTGATCCAGTTGAACTTCTAGAGTTAGCAAAACTATTGTTTACATCTAAGCCTTAAACTTGTATGTTAGATCCAGTTCCAACCAGGTTATTTAAGGAAGTATTCCCTTTGATCTCATCCTCCATTTTAAATGTGATTATCTCCCTCTGTTACAGGGATGTGTACCAAAGGCT